AGAAAACAACAAAGGACAGGCTGGAGGGTAGAGGGGAGGAGGGTGGGCAAACCAACAGCACAAGGCAAGAAACAAAGACCGAAAAAAATAAAATAAAAACTGATGACGACAGTCTGTCAGGGATGCATTAAACTGCTGGATAAGAACTCACCACATCGCCCAAAGTTATCAATACCCTGAGAAAAGTGGTCGACTTTGCTCACGCCAACCCTGCAATCCTAGCAGACCGTCGGTCCAAACCCCTGACAAGAACGGCATTAAGTCTGAGAAACTAGTTTATGTGCGTGTGTGTTTGTATGCTTATTCTTCATCTGTAGGTGTGTCCATGATATCTTTCCTTGAAAAAAAAAAGAAAAAAGAAAAAAATTTCCTTGACTTCAGCAGGGCACCGCACGCCATGTGAGAGCGAGTCTTCTTTCCAGGCCGACGGTGTGCTTGTTACGACATCCATAACGGATTTCAATACTGCAACATTGACCAGATTTCCCAGGTCTGCTTGCCCTGTCGTCCCTTGTAGTGTGGTTGCCTTGTTTGTGTTGTCTTGTGCTTCACGACACGGTTGCCACGCTGCATGTCCTGAGTGCCATGTCGTTCCTTGCAATCGTTTTTGGCGTTGTGTAGTCGTGTTGCCTCTACGGTGCTGCCTGGTGCTCGATAAGGTTGTTGCCCCTTGCTATGTTCCGCTTGGGGACAGTCTGCCTTCAACAAGGGTTAAAGGGTTCATGACCCAAACCATCAAATACGGAGATTCCGCAGATTGTCGAGGGTTCAGCCTCCTGATGAGTCGGTGCAGCTCCGACGAAACAATCTATCATCAGTTTTTATTATTTTTTTCAATCTTTGCTTTTTCCACAATTGTATTTTTTTTGGTTGCTGCTTTTGATTTGTCGTTATTCGAGTCGATGCCATTCCCTCACTGCCTTATGCTGTTTGCCTGCCCATCTGCCTAGCCCATCTGCCTACCCCATGCCTTTCACCCGGTGCGCTTTCTTGCCTTCTGCTGTTCGCCTGCCCACCCGCCTCCTCCTTGCCCTACAGCCTTTGTGCCTTGGTGCCTCGTGCTTTAGTCCTTGCTGCGTACTGTTTGTCTTTTCATCGAGTCTATGGCTTATAGAAAATATTTACAAGGGAACCGATAGGAGAGAATTGTGTATTGCTGTTGTGTCCTTGGGCTGCCTCCCTGATCAGTCAATGGCATGGATTACACGTTACGTGTATTGGAGCGACATTTGCTGTGCTCTTGCATATACTCTTACACACACGCGCACGCGCGTGCAGTAGTGTATTCTTTGATGTTCTAGTGGAAGAGTCATTCTATTTTTCTCCTCCTATCGATGGAAGTAGCATGAGGCCAGTCACAGGGTTGGAGACTTACCTGTTGGCTGGTGCGTTGCTCATCCTATCGATGGAAAACTCTCTCTCTCTCTCTCTCTCTCTCTCTCTCTCTCTCTCTCTCTCTCTCTCTCTCTC